ATCGATCACCTTTCTCCTCCAGTAGCGTGCAGTGTACATTCCAGCACCATGAATACTGACTGGTCAGTAGTGCCAAAGGTTCTAGTGGGCACCGGATCACCTTCTCTGTATTGGATGATGACACAGTGAATTAACACAGAGAGCCATCACTGGACAAACGTGCCCAGCAGGAGAGAGACTTTGGAGCACTCAGTCCTATACAGGATGTGTTCATCCAAGTCCTCCCTTCAAAGCTCAGGGATCTACGTGGAAGAGGAGATAGAGTGTAAACAGGGCCAGCAGTGAGGGATGACCCCGAGGAAACAGTGTCTGCCAGACACACAGGATTGGTGCACATCTGAGCTCACAGAGGCTGTGGTAGCACACACAAGCTAGATGGGGTCCCAGGACAGAGAGGGAGAATGAACGCTCTCACCCCGAAACAAGAACCTATTCACAAAGGGAAGAATCAGTTCTCTCCAATACTCCAGTCCACACTCCAGAGCAGGACCCATGTCCAGAAGTAGCTGTCCAGCACAAAATGAATTCCGTTTTCTTTTCTGCGTATGTGCGTTTTTTTTTGTTTCGCTTTTGTTTTGTTTTGGCATTTTTTTTTGTCTTGGTTGGTTTTTGTTTTGATTTTTATGGGAGTGGGCCCTTTTTTGAGAGAGAGAGAGAGAGAGAGAGAGAGAGAGAGAGAGAGAGAGAGAGAGAGAGAGAACAAAAGTGGGCAGGTAGGGAGGTAATCTGGGAGGAATTAGGGAGGGAGAAAAACATGATCAAAATATATTGTATGAAAAAGAAAAGCAGCCGGGCAGTGGTGGCGCACGCCTTTAATCCCAGCACTTGGGAGGCAGAGGCAGCCGGATCTCTGTGAGTTCGAGGCCAGCCTGGACTACCAAGCGAGTTCCAGGAAAGGCGCAAAGCTACAAAGAGAAACCCTGTCTCGAAAAACCAAAAAAAAAAAAGAAAGAAAGAAAAAGAAAAGTAATAAAAAAGGAATGGAAGGAAGCTTGTGTGGCTGTGACCTCCAGTGGTTTGGGAAGGTTTCCCCAGCAGACAAACTGCAGACCAGGATTCAAATCCAGTGGAGGTCATTCCAGAGCTCTGCAGGCCCAATACTCTGTGAAAGCCTGGCTGGAGCCAATTGGGTCCAGAGATGGGAAAGTCCAGGCCCAGCCCAGCCAGGAGAGCTGTGGGAAACAGGAAGGCAGAAGAGCAAAGAGGAGACGGCACCGGGCGGCGTGAACCTAGGTCCCAAGGGGAAATTTCATAGCTCATTCTGGAACGAGCCTCAGAAGAATATACCGCTATCCCCAATTTTATATAGGAGCCAACTGAGGTCAGGGGCATTAAGACATTTACCCAAGGCCATGGAGCTTGTAAGACCTGATTTAAAACTTGGGAAAAGTAAGTGACCCAGGATACATCCTAGGGCCTGTACTCCAACTTCAAGCACCCTGATGCCCTCGTACATCAAACTTCAAGTTTGGGGGTTAAAAGTAGTAGGGAGCTGAGCCATCAAACTACGAAAAGACATGAAGGAATCTTAAGTCTCATTACTACCTGAAATAAGCCCATCCACACCCCCGTGATACTCGGGACAAGGCAAACCTATGGACACGTAAAAATGCCAGTGACTGCTGGACGGTGGTGGCGCATGCCTTTAATCCCAGCACTCGGGAGGCAGAGCCAGGCGCATCCCTGTGAGTTCGAGGCCTGCCTGGGCTACCATGTGAGTTCCAGGAAAGGCGCAAAGCTACACGGAGAAACCCTGTCTAAAACACCGGGGGGAAAAAAAAAAAACCGCCAGTGATTGACAGCAGCAAGAGGAAAAGGGACAGTCCGTGCAATGCCATAATGCACTATTACTACATGCTTGTCCCAGAATGCTCAGTTCTAGGAGTGAGCCATGCTGTGAACCAGGGATGGGGTTGGGGGCCTCTGGGCAATTGTGAGGGGTGTGTGTGGGTTTCCTCAGCTGTTATAGTGGATTTCTGCCGAGGAACACTGATAACCGGGGAGGCTGTGCAAGTCGGGGGCTGGCTTATATGGGAAAATGTCGGTACTTTCCTCTCAATCTTGTGACCAAGGACAAACGAGAGAAGGCGATATCTAGTGTGGCAAAGACTGGCAGCAGTTATGAGAATCTAGTTGAAGATGGGACAAGGACCTTGGCAAGAGGAAAGAGAGAACACGGGAATCAACCCAGTACAAAGAATTCTGCATCCTAGGGGTGTCCACAGGAAGGGTATGAGCTTCTCCACAGGCCTTGTAAGGGACTGAGGGAAACTGGGTGTGGTAATCAATCTTCTCACCTTCACATATTCAAATGAATGATCCTTCTTTTTTAACATAAGAATAATTACAGATGGCTGGTAGAGGTACACACCTTTAATCCCAGCACTCAGGAGGCAGAGGCAGGCAAATCTCTGTGAGTTCAAGGCCAACCTGGTCTACAGAATGAGTCTCAGGACAGCCAGGGCTACACAGAGAAACCCTGTCTTGAAAAACCAAAAATAAAAACAACAAACCCCCCAAAAACAGAATGATTGCAAGCCAGGCCTAGTGGGCCAGGCCTGTCATTCTGGCTACTCTGGAGGCTGAGGCAGGAGGATCACAAACTCAAGGCCAGCTGGAGTAACTTAACGAGACCCCATTTCGAAATAAAAAAGTAAGCCAGGCAGCGGTGGCACACGCATTTGATCCCAGCACTCCGGAGGCAGAGGCAGGCGGATCTGTGAGTTCAAGGCCAGCCTGGGCTATAGAGGACTGGGGTGGAGCTCAGTGGTAGAACGCCTGTCTAGCCTACTAGGTCCTGAGCGCAGTCCCCGGTACCGCAAACCAAACCAAAGATTGCGTGCAGAGCTCTAAATTTAATCCTGTCCCATAAAAGCGCTTCGGTGAGAAAACTGTCCAAGTTGTCTAGGCAGCAAACAGGTCAATGCTCACTTTACATTTTCATTCCTGACAAGAGTTTGTTATCCCCATTTCACAGGTTGAGAAACTGAGGCCCAAGTCAACGGCAGTACTTTAGACTCTCTCCTCTCTCTCTCCATGTGTCATCCTTTGTTTGAGGTGCCAGAGAGACAACCCTGAGCACAGAGCACGGTCCATCCCCAGGCAGCATGAAGAGCCGGGTTGTATGGGCACGTCACTACTATCCCCCTCCACCTCTTCTTCCCTTACTCCAAGGCGGCGTAAGTGGCGTAGCGAGTCGGTGAGTTCTTAGGGACCACGGACTCTTTAAAACTGGAAAACACTACCTAGATTGTACAGATCTTTGGGAGGAAGAAATGGAACCGTGCCAAGAGAGGCTCGGCAAAGAGCATGTGACCTGGGGGATGTGCTATAAATGCCGCTGCTGCTGCTGCTGCTGCTGCTGCCACTGCTGCCTGGGAAGGGAAGGCAGCTGTTAGCCCTGCAATGCTCTCGTCATGACCTCACTTCCAAGCCCGAGGCCCCATTTGCAGGGCTGCTTCTGACTCAAGCCAGCACCCGGCTCCTAAATGAGAGGGAAGGAAAAGGGTGACTCAGAATACGGCACAGTGGCGTTCCTGGCTGACCTGTACCCGTTGGGGAGCGGAGGGCCCCCCCGAGGCCAGGGGGAAACATGAACCCCAGGGGCCCAACTGCTAGACTGGTGCCTTGCCTGGGTTATCATAGCCATGCTCAGCAGCAGCAGCAGCAGCCAGAGAGGCCAGAGAAAGTGGAGCTCAGGCCTCTGGGGACTATGTCGCCAGATGTACTCATACGAAAGAGCGACGCTGCCCGCAGTCTCATGCAGGCCAAAGGTGGGCCAAAGCATCTGCTAAACAGAGCTGTATGTAATTCTGACTTGGCCAGCAGCTAGCCCTGGCTTCAAGGGCAGTGGAGGCAGCAGTATCCCGGACCTCTCAAGGGGCACTAAGACTTCATTTCTCCAGTTCTCCTTGTGCCCTACGTGGGGCAGGGCGGGGTGTGTGTGTGTGTGTGGGGTCTGTGTGCTCAGTTCCAGCTTAATGGTGATGAGGAGACAAAGGTCCAACTGTAAAATGGGACAGGTTCACAACCATGGTGCCATATGGAACCAGCTGCAAGTGATTCTCTACGGAAAGCGGTTGAGCATGGGAAGCGGAGAAAGCCCTGAGTGAATGAAGTCCCGAGTGAGTGGGCATTGCTGGCATGGGCATGGCTTCAGACCCATAGGAACATGGCAAAGAGTCCTACCCCACCCCCACCACCAAAGTGAGGCTCAGAGGGATAGCAAAGCCTTCCGGGCGTCCAAGTGTGAAGGTTAACAATGAGTGCAAAAATATGCCCACCATAGTTTTCTTCCCCTGGATGATTACAGTCTGAAGACTATTCCCCTACGGAGACAGCTCCTACCTAAATTAGCTAAATTTAGCTCCTTGTCCAGCAGTATCTAAATCCTTTATCTGTATGCACTAACCCTGCCTCCTTGATTCAGCTGTAGGCAACAACCCCACCTCCCCATTCCACTGTGTACAATAAACATTCTGAGCACCCGAGGGTTTCTCCATCAGAGAGCCCAGTCCACCCCATCCCAGTGATTTCTGTGTTTCCATGTGTCTGTCCTTTCTTTACTCCCTCACTGTCCTAGTCAGGTCGAGTCCCTGGAGCCATGCAAGGGGGGAACAGTTGAACATCACAAGTTACCAAAGAAAGGCACAGTCAACAGCAAGGGTAACAGTGTATTATTGACCGAACTGGTAAGAATGAAAATAGTATGAATAACTGGGGTGTGGCCAATCAGGCATTCCCACACGATGCTGAGGAGTGTGTAAATGAATACAATCTCTCCAGAAGACAATTTAGATATGTGTTTACCAAATGCCTGCATGGTTCCTTTGATGGAGCAATTTTACTTCTAGGAATTTAAATGAAGGAAAGAACACACGCACACAAAGATATTCATTTCAGCACTGCTTACAACAGGATAAATGCAAACAGCTGAGACATCACAAAGGACTGATTGATGCCTGTTGGCTCAACCCTCCATGAAATACTATACAACCATCAAGATATTAAGCACAATATTTATTGATGAGGAAAGATGTTCACAGCATATTGTGGGGAGGAGAAAAAAAGCAAGTTACAAAACAGCGCTCTTCCAATTTACAAATTAGTGTAACAGAATAACTCCATTTGTTGTTTTCTTGGGTTTTTTTTTTCCAAGTAAGTGATCTATATGAACAGGAAAGAAAAACATCTTGAGATACATATGACTTTAAAGTAGCTACCTTTGGATAATATTATGTGTTTCTGGACCAGGGAGGTGGTTCAGCAGATAAAGACTGATGACCTGGGTTCAATCCCCATGTCCCACTGGGTGGCAGAGAACTTCTGCAAGTTGTCCTCTGACCTCCACACGGATGCCATAGCACCCACATGCAAACACACACACACACACAAAATTAAACATTTTTGAAATATTAGATCTGTCACCTTTTTTTCATGATGCTTGGCGGTGTTTTCCAACAATTTTAAAATTTTATAATTTTTAAATAAGGATTGGACTAGATGATTTATAATGTCCTTTCATCGCTGACACTCTGTCACTCCAAGCACTCGGGTGATTTCACAGAACCCCTTTATTGACTGGGCTTTCCGTGTGGCCTTTGGAGTCCAGGCTTTTGCTAGCAGCTGTGACCCTGGACATTCCTCTCTCCCATGTTCACTGCCCAGCTGTCTTCCCCTGTCAGCTCAGGAGCTTCTGTTTGGCAAGGCTCAACTGTACCCCTATTTGTAATCCATGAACCTCATCAAGCTCTGGGCAAGGGAACATTGCTCAGCATGCTGGCAGGTGCCATGTGGGCACAAAGAGATAAAAGGCACAACTTAGAGCCTGCTGGATAGACCCAAACATACAGTGCTTGGTTTTATAACTGACGATGGAAGACAGGAAGGAGAGGGAGCAGGGTAAGCTGGCAGGAAGGCCTACGGAGGGAGAAAGCCATGCGGGGTGGTGGGCCAGGGCTAAGCAAAGTCAAAACCAGCACAGAGTTCTTTGGGACCCATTCTTCAAAACATTGCCAAGAAGCTTCCACAATCCTGGTTCTGATAAACATCTACTCTGGCAACAACAGATAAAAGTTCAGTCTCTGAAACACAAGTTTTCTTTAATCTAAGCCTAGGTTGGCCACCAAAGACAACAAGAAATCTTTTGGGCACAAAGACGATCCACTTTCCCCAACCCTCCCAAGGGGAGAGCTGAGGGGAGGGGAGGGTCCGGAAAGGGCCGTGGGGAAGCAGCAGCAGGGACAGCCAGACATCTCACATGCATCCAAGGCTCACCCCACCAGCAGGCCTCTGGCTTCTCCGGCGGCGGCGGCAGCACCACCACCGACCCCATTGGACAGATGGAGGAACCGGGCTGGAGAATTAAAATGGCTTGCTCCAGGATCACCCAGCCAGAGAGCGGGGAAGGCGACTCCACTCAGGCCTTCTGACTCCAAGTCCAGTGCTATTTCGAGGTAACACACAGGACCTGGAGTCAGGAGCCCTGGGTGGCTCTGTCACCCCCTGGCTGAGTGGTCGTGGACAAGCAGCTCACCCCTCACAGCCTCTTCCCCCCCAACTGTAAAATGAGGCGGCGGGCTGCCCCGCCCATTCCCGCTCAGCTCTGAGCCTTCTAGGGGCGGCTGCAAAGCTCCTGGTATCAATTACATTTCCCAAGTTGGCCCGGCAAAGATCACCCGGAGATCTTCGGCCTGTCACGTGGTTAAGTTAAAGCGGGAGGGGGGGCGGGGGGGGGGGCAAACGTCCCAAATTAACTTTCACTGCACTGCTTCTGCTGACACCTGACTACTCATTTTTTTTTTTCTACTTTCCTTGGTGAAGCAGCCCTACTAAATAAGCTAGGCTGGCGGCTAAAAGGGCAAACAATTAATTATTGGTGAACCAAACACCAAAGCTAGAGTTAAAGGCTAGGGACATGTCCAGAGTGAACAACCTTGGTATGGGTGAAGGAGTCTCACTGGTTATTTCTGGTCTCTTCTACTAGGTTCTTAAGTGTAGAGATAAGGAGACGACTCCAGGCAATAGGGATCTGGGGTGCAGATCTTGTGGGGGGGGGCACCAGACCCCCACCACCTCCAGTCCTGGTCCCAGACTATCCACTCCTAGGGTGCTGAGACTAGGTAGGGCCCGACTTCGGCAGACACAAACACCGAGCGTGTGACCGAGCCCGGCGACGCTGCCGGGAGCTCCACCGCAGTTTCGTCAGAGGTAAAGGTACGCGCCCGGCGCGCGCGGCGTGTGCACACGCGCAGGGGACACACAGACACGCATACACACACACACACCCGCGCACGGCCCGCTCATTAACACCCCCCCTCCCGACCTGAGCAAGAGCCATCATCCCTCACCACCGTCCCCTTGGGCCTCTGCTGCGAACCCACCCGAGCGCGCCAGCCACACACCACGCAGCCCCGCAGCTCCGGGACGCCGCGGCGTTTGCAGAGGGCTACCGCCCGCCGTCTCCCGCGCGTGGCGGGCTTCCTCTAGGCGACACCTCGCCTCGCCGCCCGTCCTAGTCGCCAGCCTGAAGTCGCCACCGGGAGCCTTCCCGGAGCAGAACGTCTCGGCCGCTGCGTCCCCTCCGAGTCGCGTCTCACCGCAAGGAGTCAGCTTGCAAGCCTCTCCCCGCCCACCCGGTCCCATGACAGCTGCTACCGCCCAAAGACTGGTAGATTCTAACCAGAAGCAAAGTTTCCCTCTCTCCTCCCACCTCCCGCCCCCCCCCCGCCTTCCCCTCCCTCCCAGTGTTATGCAAAACCGGCCGGCACAAACGCTTCCACTCCAGGTACTCAGTCTGTCCCCGCGAGTCCCACGGGTTTCCGTACGACAGCCCCGTTCCGTACCCTGGCGTGTCCCCGCATCCGGGGTCTCCTCCCAGGCTCCGCTGCATCCCCAACCTCTCGGGGACACGCAGCGAGGAGCCGGGAGCAAAAGCTCGAACTCGGGACCCAAACTTTAGGTTTGCAACAGGCATGGGTCGGGGCGGGGGGGACGACGACGGAGGAGGTGGGGGCGCGCACGCCGCGTGCACACATTTTCCCGCAACTGTTTGTCCCAGCAGCAAACCCCATCTTGGTCTCCAAGCCAGCAGATCTCTCGTCCTCCCTCCTGAACACCAAAACACACTCCTGTCACGCGCGTGTAGCCGGCGGGGCTCCCAGGCTCAGCCAGAGCCCGGGACGCCGCCTCACCTTCCCTTCCCCCTGCATCGTGGAGCGCGCGCCGGGGCCGCGCGCCGCAGGGGGACCCAGGCACCCCCGAGATAGTCCTTCCGCCCCGATCCAGCCTTGCTCTGCCCTAGAGGGTCTCCTCCGGATAACGAAAGCTGACAGACACTATCTCCGCCCGCATGTCCACGTGCCCCGCAGACCCCTTAGTTCCCCTAGCCGGCAAGTGACAGGAAACTCTGCGCTGCGGGAGCAGGTGGGGGGCTGCGGGAAAACCAGCGGCAGCACTTGGGGTACGCGATGCTGGAGAACGAGGGGACTCCAGGGCTGCGGGCCGCCTCCCTTACCCCCGCCACAAGTGCACGTGAAAGTACGGCAGCAAGTGCTGGGCGCCGAGGACGCGCCTACAGCACCCAGAGCCAGTCTTAGGGGTCCCTCCGACCCTGGCCAGATTCCACCTACCCAAGGAATCGCCGTACCCCTCAACTTTGCCGGTGGGGGAACCGTAGACTCCAGGTAGCCCTGGCCAGACCCTCCCGGATGGCTGTGTCCCCCAATGCTACAGCACGCGCCGGCGACCTGCAGCTCGCTACGCCTGTAACGGAGCGCAGCGCAAGGCACGTGGAAGGGGGGCTCTGCAGCCTGAACCCCCCGATCGCCCCGGTGCGCCCACCGCTGCGCTCCTGCCTCCGCAGCTGCGGCTGCAGCCCCGCGGCTCTGCACCCGGGGTCCCCGGCCTGCGCTCCCAGCTGGCCCGTACCTGCGTGTCAGAGAGATAGTTGAGGAAGAAGGACGAGAGCTCTTCATCCAGCAGCGCGCTGCAGTCGTTCCCCGCCATCTTCCAGCCGCGGCTGCAGCGTGCGGCGGAGTCAGCGCCGAGCCCGCCCGGGGGAGGGAGCGAGCGAGCGAGGAGGAGGGAGGAGGCAGCCGGGCGGGCGGGTGGAGGGCGGAGCTCGGGCCCCCGGCTGCGGCAGGCCGGCTGGCTGCGGGGGCGGGGCCGCGTGAGCCTGGGGTCGCACCCCCACTTTCCCTGCTCCTGAGTCTGTCGCGGCGACCAGGTCTCGCAGCCCCCCGCGGGGGAAAAAGGCGCCGGCAGCCAGGTGGCGGTGCCCGGGCCAGCCGCCCGGTGCCTGCGCAGCAATGCGGGCACCCCCCTCCTTACTGCTAGAGCGAATCACGTTGCGTTAGCGCTGGGCGGGCCCTTGCCTGACAACCTGCTTCGGCACAGCTGGGGAAACTGAGGCTCCGGGAGGTTCCGAACCGCGTTTGAAGCCGCAGTGTGCTTCGACAGCAAAAGAGAAAGCTTCGGAGGCCTAAGTTCTTTCTCCAGAGTGCAAGGCCGGAGAGGGAGGGAGGCAGGCTCAGATCAAAGGCGGAGAAATCAGAGAAGGCTTCTCGGAGAGGGTGGCATTCATATGTTTTCTTTGAGGAATGTTTTTTTTTTTAACCCATTTCCTGTTAAGCCTAATCATCTCTCTCCCCCAGCGCCACCCAATAACCTCCCTTGAAAAAAAATTCAGTCATGTCTTTTACCATAGCCCACAGTGTCTTGAATTGACTAGGCTTCTGCCAGCCTCGCAAGCCCATTGGCCTGCTCCCTTCTTAGTATGAACCTTCTGGAAAGGAGCCTCTATGCCGATCGGCCATTCACCGAATAACGGCATCTTTAGGGCATCCTCGTCCCTCTTCCTGAAGTATGCGACCCCTTCCCTTGGAGGTATCTCAGCCGCCTTTGTACCTTGGCTTCAGTGAAGAATGGATCTGAGTCCATCTGTCCTTGCTAGAGTCTAAGACACATGAAACCGGGCTTAGATCTTGCTTTGGTTATTACTCTGGGTAACCAAGGTATTTAATAAATAATGTGTTGATTGAAAAGGCTTATCGGGTGGCGGTAGTGGCGCCCTCCTTCGATCCCGGCTCTTGAGAGGCAGAGGCAGTGAGTTCGAGGCCAGCCTGGTGAGTTCCAGAACAGCCACAGTGTTTACACAGAGAAACGCTGTCTGGAGAAACCTAAAAAAAAAAAAGGAAAGAAAGAAACGGCTGGAGGGCTTTGCTTCCCCCGCCCCACGGCCATCACCACACACTCCACATAGATGAGCGAACTGTAGGTCAGGACTGCACACCAGGAGAGTTCTGAACCAGAGCCAGGAAGCAAACCTTCTGACTTCAACCTTGAACTCTCATTGCTTCTGTGCTTGGCAAGCAGGCACCTAGGTGTGTGCGCGAGGGAGGGGCGTAGGTGTGTGTGTGTGTGTGTGTGTGTGTGTGTGTGTGTGTGTGTGTGTGTGTGCTGGGACTGAATAAAGGCTGGAAGGCAGGAAGACTCCGAGCTGTTTATTGGGCACACCTGCCTCCCGCCCTGCTTCCACCGGGGGCTGACAGGGGCTGCCCCACCCTGCAAGGGCCGGCAGGCTCCTTCCAGCAGGAGAAGGAAGGAGCCCCGCACACCTGCTCAGACTTGAGGCACACAGCAACAGCTTCCTTCTTCTCCAGGCTGAGGTTCCCAGAACCGCAGGGTGTGATTTCACTCTTTGGGCTTAAGGCCAGCGCGCTTTTAAGGAACGGTGCTGCCAAGGGAGGACGTACAGCTCGCCTCCTCGGAGGAGTCCTGGGTTCTGGTTCAGCCCCTACTGTCTCTTGCTCCAGTACTGGGCAACGGAGTCAGTGTCGCTGCCTGGTTTTGAACCCCAGCAACGTCATCTGATCTCAGGCCTTGGTCGCTCATCTAGACAAATGGGGATAGTAAAATCACTTACTCACAGTGATGTTATGAAGATAAAGAAATAAAATATGTAAAGTGCTTGGCACAGGGCCTGACCTCAGGGGGAGCGCTAAGCTGGCTGGGAGAAAATACCCTTACAGGCACTGGCCACTATGCCTTCCCTTCCCTACCAACACTTAAACAGACTCCGTACTCCATTCAGGTCTGAATCCTGGTGCCAACTAACTAACTCTGTGCTACTGTTACCTAAAAGTAAAAGTGAGAGTCAGGCATGGTGATGCATGTCTATAATCCTAACTCGTGTGAAGTGGAGGTGGGGGGGGGTAGGGGGGTTCAGGAGTTCAATGTCATCCTTGGCTATATAAGGCCAGCCTGGACTACATGAGATGCCGTCTCAGAAAAAAAATGAAACAAGGGCTGAGAACATAATTCACTTGATAGAACGTTTTGTCTATCATGCATGAAGTTCCGGGTCCAATAGAACCAGATAAAAAGCTGAGTATTGTGGAATATATTATAATCCCAGCACTGGGGAGGTAGAAGGATCAGATATTCATGTCATCTTTGACTGCATAGCAAGTTTGAGGCCAGCCTGGGCTACATGAAACCCTGTCTTACAAAATCAAAACAACAAAAAAATAAGAGTCACTGGCTTGACCGCTCTGAGCCTCAGTTGCCTCATCTACAAAATTGGGACAGCAATGGTGCTATTCCACATAGACCCTGGGAAGGGTCAAGTGAAACAATGTGGGTAAAATAAATTGCTTGGCCGGGGTGGGCAGACAGGAAGTGCCCACCACCATGATTATCATCCTCGTTATCACCACGATGTGAATACTCCTAGGGCTGCTGCTGCTGCTGCTGGACCAAGTAGGAGTCCCACCGAAATGTTTTCCAGAACTGTCCCCATTCAGGCTGACCCTTTGGTGTTGTGCCTTTTAGAGCCCAAGGAATACATTGGATCCCCTCCCCAGCCAGCCATCTCCGGCCATGGCCATGCAGATGGACCTCAGTGCCTTGCTAGAGACTAATTCGTCCAGAGGCTTTGTTTGTTTTTAAAACTCTGGCGTTGTTGTTAGAAATACTACCATTTGCCCAGTCTTAAAGACTTTATCACTGATCTATGCATCCTCTGATTAGGTTGTGGCTGCCAAGACATTTAGGGTGAGCCTTCACCTGAGAAGCTTAGCTTGCTTTTCAGGAGTTCTTTCCTCAGAGGCAACTCACAGTCTTGGCCCCATGACCCTCTTGCCTCCTTGCAGGGGTGTGGAGTTCTTCCTTGAGAAAGCCATCAAGCATTCTGTGTAATAATTCACACCTGTGACCCGGGCACTCAGGAGGCTGAAGCAGGACGACTCCAGAGGAAGTCCACTCAAAAAAAGAGAAGGAAAGAAAAGTCCTCAGGAAACCCAAGGCGGCAGAAAAATCTCATGTGGTTTGCTTGTCTTCTCCCTGGCTGAGGAGAGAGCCACTGGATGAAGCTGTGCGGAGTCCCTGACCCAAATGCACGGTTAGCGTCTAGGTCTCAGGCCAAACCTCCCAGCTTTTCCCTGCATCTGAGCCGTGTCATCTCTAATCCTTCCCACAACCTTCAGTGGAATGAATTTATCCATTATATCCCCGGGGAAATGAAAGCTTAAAAGATGTTAAAGCTAGGGCTCTAGCTCAGTGGTGGACCGTTTGCCTAGCACACTCCAGGTCCTAGGCTGAATCCGCAGTATTCACTGCAAAAGGGGTGATCAGCTCCGGACCCAGCAGCTAGAGGTCCAGCTGAGGCAGGTACCAGGTCCAAGCTACAACCTCCTAGGAGGGAATAAGCAACAGCCCCCAGCAGCTGGCCACCTGGAGGATGCCAGAATGGTGGCACATTTCTTAGTTTATGACTTTCAAGGGAAGGGCAATAATACTGCCAGAGTTGGACTTCACGCGGCTCCACTTCTACCTCCTCCGCCTTTTGATTGGCCTAGCCTCCCTTGAAAGCAGTGAAAATTAGTGTGGTGCATATCCAGCCCAGCCCAAAGCCAAGAGCACTCCAGGCTCCTCGGAAATGGCTCGAGGAAAAGGAACCTGCAGGATTGGACTTGAATATTTTAGTCCCTACCCGCCAGTGCTCAAAGTGGAAACATCAGCATTTCTTCTTCTGATAATAGGAGAGAGATCTATTCAGACACTGCAGCTGAGCTTCCCAGACTCTCGAGGACATGACCGTCACCTGGGCTCTGTCACCAGAGATTTCCATTCAGGAGATCTGAAGTGGGCCAAGATTGAGCAGGTTCCCCTAGGTGACTCTGCTGCCCATCATTCAACAGATGTTTAAGGAGCACCTGCTAGGTGCCAGCTACTGCAGTATGTGCAGACACATAGGCCAGGGCACATAGAACATCTGCCACCACCCATGCCCACATACTGGCCCACACAACTGTTAAGCAAACTACTGTTCAGGGAGGGTGGGAGGACATGGGTTTTAACAGGCAGGGAGGTTTCCTGCCAGCCACCACAACCTCTGTAAGCCTGTGACCGAAGCTAGGGTGCCACATAGCCGCAATGCTGCTCTGTTTCCCAGCTTCTGTGCCGAAGGCAGGAACTCAGGCAGGAACTTTTTAAAAACAGAACCTTTGTACAGCTCATCCTAAAAGTCCCTGTCTTAGTTAGGGTTTCGAAACACCATGACTATAAGCAAGATGGGCAGGAAAGGGTTTATTTGGCTTATACTTCCACATTGTAGTTCATCATTAAAGAAAGCCAGGACAAGAACTCAAACAGGTCAGGGACCTAGAGGCAGGAGCTGATGCAGAGGCCATGGAGGGCTCCTGCTACAATTGGGCTGCACTTTCACCAATAACCTCTCCTGGGTTCTCTTCATGGTGCCCATGAAGAAAGCACCCATGTGTGGTGATATTGTGTTCCCCAAAATATTGTGCACTCTAGTAAACTCATCTGGGGTCAGAGAACAGAACAGCCACTAGACATAGAAGCCAGAAAATGGTGGCACACACACGTTTAATCTTAGCATTCCAAAGGCAAAGATCTGTCTGGATCTCTGTGAGTCCAAAGCCACAATGGAAACAGCCAGGCATGGTGACACACACCTTTAATCCCAGGAAGTGATAGCAGGAAGCAGAAAGGTATATAAGACGTGAGGACCAAGAACTAGAGCTGGTTAAGCTTTTAGGCTTCTAGTAGCTGTTCAG